ATGAATCCTAGGTATTTGGGATGTTTTTCATATGAGAGGGGCTGAGCTTCGAAATACAATTTTGGTTTGTAGTTATATAGGTGTTTATTAGTAGTAAAGAAGGTCACTATTGATTTAGCTGGATTGAAAGTCAGTTGATGTTCTGTTACAAACTCAGAAAGTGCTACCAAAATGGTGTTAAAGATCGTTTTGATGTTACTCACATCTGTGCTTAAATTCCAAAGAACAATATTGTCAGCAAAGATTGCAATGTCAACAAGTTTTGGTTTCATTTTCTCTCCTCCGGCTAAAAAGAAGGAGAATAGACTATGGTTTAATACTGATCTCTGAGGAATGACCTGTCCCAGTTTAAAAGGATCCAAGTAATTCCTGTTAAATTTAACTAGTGGATCTATGGTGCAGAAAGTCAGCTATCCAAACCAAGGCAGAATCCCTAATGTTAAATGTCTCGGGGATTTTAACAATAATTTTGTCCTTCCAGACAGTATCAAAGGCCTTAGATAAGTCCAGCATGGAATGTTGATTTAGTTTAAGGTTTTGACTGTCTCTGATCTTTTGGCAAAAGTAAAGGATTTGATCTGTGGTACTATGCCCTTTTCTAAAACCGTATTGTTCAGGAGGTAACAGATAATTGAGAACCAAAAAGTAATGAAGTCTTGTAAGAATAATTTTTCTCCATTATTTTACAAGTCATACTGGTAAGGGCTATAGGTCTATAACTTTGAATTGAGCTTGCTTCTTTGCCTGGTTTTCTGATAGGAATAACAGTGGCTCTCTTCCAGTCTACAGGAAGCCGTCTACAAGACCACGAATGGTTAATAATATCCAAAAGTCTTTGCTTGCCAATTAAGTCCAGGTTTTTCAGCATTTGGCCGTGTATTCCATCAGGGCAGGTGACTTGGCTAGATCCAAGAAGGCTAGAGCTGAGAGAAATCTTGAGAGGAATATCTCTGTTAGGACTCAAGATCAGTACTGTGACAACCATTGATAATGTTAATTCAGAAGTCAAACAACAACAATCAGGGTTATATTTACAAAATTTTCACAGGACTAGTTTCGATGGTTTTACCGAACCACCATCCTCAGCTGCAAAACCGCAAATTAACAAGATAGGAAATAATGATTAGATAAGATAAGAAAGCCTGGACAAGAATAAGAAAGTGGCGCCATCTGTTGGTGAAACCAGAACTAAAACATAATTTCTTTAAAGGCCGAAGGCAAATTTGGATTGGAATTAGGATCGTTAACTAGAATAGAAATATTTTTATGAATGTGAAATGCCTCTAGAAAATTCAGTTCTCCAATGGAAGATGTTTTTTGAATAATTTTGGCAGCAGAAAATTGAAAGTGCGATTTTTTGGACCAACAATGTTGAGCAACAGAAGACTTCTGAGTTTCATTTTTTCTAACATATGCCTCATGTTCCTTGACCTGAAATTTTAAGGCTCTCTTAGTTTGGGCAATGTAAATTAAACCACACTGGCAAGAAATCCTATAAATACCCCAGGAATTCATATCCTTGAGTATGGAACTCAGAATTTTATTGATGGGAGAATAAACGACCCGAAAGTTGAATTTCTGCAAAATATGTGCAACTTTATAGCTAATTGATGGAAAGAAGGGAATGACAACAGAATTTTTATAATCTCCTAAAACAAGAGTGCTTGATTAATAATGTTGGGTGAAACGCCCCTGTCAATAGCTATTGCTTTTAAATAATTTAGTTCTTCATCAAGGGCTAGTTTGGAGGAGCAAACTTGAAGAGCACAGGAAACATAGGAATAAAATGAAGTTAACTTTTGTTTAGTCGGATGACATGATTTAAAGTGTGGTGGAAGGCAAACCGATGAAGGTTTACGGTAAACCATAGTACTGAAGTTGGATGTGTTACTTGTGACCAGAATGTCGAGAAACGGAAGAGAATTCCAAGTCTCAAGTTCAAAAGTGAACTGAATAGCAGGATCAGTAGAATTCGTTGTTGAAAGAACTTTATTTAAGTCATCTTTATTACCTTCAAACAGGGTAAAAGTATCGTCTACGTAGGGGAACCATGCCAGGAAGTTTAAAGTTTCAAACAATTTTTATTCGTAATAATGCATGTAGATGTCAGCCAGGATGGGACTGAGGGGGCTTCCCATGGCTAATCCCTCAGTTTGCTTGTAATATTTATTTTGGAAAACAAAATATGTTTGTTTCAAACAGAGGTGAGTGAGAGCTCAGCAATTTTGATGCAAGAGAAATTAAATTCGCAAAGTCTAGTTTCTAGACATCTTAATGCACCCTCCACTGGAACATTGGTGAATAATGATTTTACATCAAAAGAAACCATGAGTAAATTCCTAGGATAAATGTTTTTATTGAATTTTTTATGGTGTAAATGTTATTGTCTAATAGAGTTGAAAATCTAGAAACTAAATATTTAGCTAATGGATACGAGGCAGTACCTAAATTTGATACAATAGGGCGGAAAGGAACACCACTTTTATGAATTTTAGGAAGAGCGTATAATCTGGCACAATTCGCAACAGATGGGATAAGCGAATGTTTTAAGTTGCTTGAAATAATTTGTGAAGATTTGATCGCAGTTTTTATTTTTGACAAGTCCGAAGGTGAAGGATCTTTAGGGATCGGATTATATGGTCCTTCGTTTAAGAGTTTAGTGACACCATCGATGTAAGTGTTCTTATCCATGACGACTATCTGGCCACCTTTGTCGGCCTTTGAAATGATAATATCCGGGTTAGAATGAATTTCGCGCATTGTAGCTCTTTCTCTCACAGTTAGATTTGGTTTCAAAGGTTTATTATTGAATTTCACATTATGAGCGATAAGATGCCTAATCATTTCTTTCTGTGAATCTGAAACTTTACTGAACTTGAAAGCTTTTTCGATAGGAGTCAAAATCTTTGGAATCGAGGGTTTACAGGTTTGTGCAAAGTTAAAATTATATTTTAGAATTCTCTCTTGTTCTTCTGAATGACTAACATTAGAAATATTAACTATTGGCTTGATGTTTACAATGGAAAGATTTTTTGAACTACTTGAACTTTAAGACTGTAAAAGAAGTTTTTCGAATTTAACTGCAAGGGTGTTTTTATGACGGTTAGCGGCATTCTCCGTTCTAGACCAAGACTTTTATTCAAGGGCATTGTTGATTGTTGTTGTTTGACTTCTGAATTAGTATTGATTCGGCATGTTATTGTATCTTAATTGATAATGTTCTTTGCCTTTTTCTTAATAGGTCTGTCTTCATATGAGAATTTCAGTCTACTAGTTTCTTGATAAAACGAACTCAGAAAATTGGCTGAAGTCTTGTCATCTAGAGAGAGTTGGCCAGCAGAGTTTGTTAAAGCATTGCAAGTATCAGATTGTGGCTGTTCTCTATTTATGCTTTTGATAATTTTCTAAAGCTTAAAATCCGACACCCTAGCATCAAGCTTATTGAAGCAATCTTGTTGTTAGCATTTATTTTATTTAGCTCGGCTCTAAAGCTATGATTATTATCAGTGTCGATATTCTCCTGCAACAGAAGCTTTCTCTTCATTAAAAGAGGTTCCGAAAGTGGATCTTTATGAATGAAAAATGGCACATAGTGTTTTATGTTACCCTAGAAATATAAATCTTGGCATTATATAGTATTAATATTTCTTTAAATTTAAGCCAGTTAGCATTGATATCATTGGTCAAACGCTCTATATTAATGCAGTTATCAAAGGATTGCTGGAAGGAGTTCCAGTCAGCCTTATCAAAGTTCCAGAAAGATTTTCTGATGATTTGAATGCACTATTTTCCCCTTATATTAATTAAAATAGGTAGGTGGTCACTTCCAATAGAGTCCATCATAGTCCGTTTGCATAATTGATGGATGTTTGAACTAACAAGTGAAATGTCTAACGCCTCTGTGGTATTATAGCTGTAGGAAGCATGGGTAGGGATACTGTCATTGAGTATCATAAACCCAGTGTCATCTATTAAATGCAGCAGTTCTCCTCTGCCATTGTTTGAAGAATGACCCCAAAGGGGGTTTTTGGCATTGAGGTCACCTAAAATGAGCGTGTTGTCTTTCAGAGCCAACGAAAGGCTTTCAGAAAGTCGAGATTGGTTAGGGGGTGTTATACATTGTAGATATGAAATGGTTTGCCTCTCCATGTGACAACTATACCCTGAACCTCAAGCTCAGAACTAGGATTCACAAAATCAATGCTCTTGTAGTTGATACCTCTGATCAGAAACGTCAGATCCCCTCCTGTACCGGAGGGTCTGTCAAGTCCATAAATGTTGTAACATTTAATTTTCAAGTTCAAAGTCGTTTTTAACTTTGTTTCTTGGATTGCTATAACTAGTATATTGTGGGTATTTGCAATATTTAAAATTTGTTCAAGTTTGACTCTAGAAGCTCTTGTTGAGAGTTCATTTATGTTGCACTGTAGGATTTTCAGGGCTTTTAACTTATAAGGAAACTGTAGGTTACTTTTGAACAGGATCCTCTGCCTAAATCCTGAACACGTCCCTGATTATTCTGCATGACGGACGATGCAGCATAATCTGCGGTAGTCAAGAAAATCATAAGGAGGAGAAAGTGAGCAGCTTCTGTTGGTCAGACAGACTGGAAGAAGTCTGTTTTTGCTCCAATGTCTACAGGTCTTAGCTAAGCATAATGGAACAGCCGTCATGCCCTGGGTTACCCTTTCAGGAGATTACTCTCCCTGTTCGCCCATGTACTTCGCCCGTTCCGCCCATGTAAACACCCTCGCCGACTAAGAGCACACTTTGAGGTGACCTGCAGGACTTGAGGGTGAGAATTAGTTTCTTGAATTATTAATTAACAAACCTTGAAATCTTTACGAAACTGATCTATAGGTCATGATAGAAAAGTAATGTATAATTAATAAAGCATATGTTTTATTTAAACAAGATAAAACAAAAAGGTATATGCTTTATCATTTCTTAAATAATAAATAATATAAATATTGGTTTCCTTAAAAATTATTCTTATTTAGAATACATTTATTGTGAAAAGAAAATTCCCACCACCATTATCAAGAAAAAATGCGGAACGTCCAAGAATACTGAAAGCTAGGCATTTTGTGTATGAGACTGTAGAGGATACTGAACTGACTGAACCACCAGATCTCAAAGTTGTTTTGACAACTTTTGTTGATGGTGAGTGTAGCAATTTAATTTTTTCTCAATTTATTTTATTAAATGTACCTTATTTTTTTTTCATTTGCAGTTGATAATTTATATTTTTTCTGTTCATATATCGTACATTAGATTTCATATATTAAACACCATTTCATTTTATAAAAGAGAGTTCTTTAATTTTTAATGAAGACTTACAATTTTTAAAGTCTAGGATTTAGGATGTTAAGAATATTCACATAGTTGAAGTGGAGATATTTCTGACTAATGACAGTGCTATATTTATCATTATTTTGCCATATGTTTGGCTTGCTGCTTAAATATAAACCCATCAATTTATGTTATATTACAAAGCATTACATTCTTTTACCTGCCTATTATTACTAATTTTCATTTTGATAATGGAAATGCAACTGTTTATCTAAACATAACTGCGATTAGAGTGGGAAAGTATTTAGCTTTATTACTTTTTCTAATGATGTAAATATCATTGTAATGTATGAAAGTTTATGAAAACAGAGATCGTATGCAGAATAGTTAATAAATGCAGTTTAAATATACTGACTACCAATAAGTATTTGGACATGTATGCAAATGACGATATCTGCAGTCCTAAGGTACATCACGGACTTCTCTGGTATATATGGTGTAGGAAACAGCATCGGCTTTAGTCGCATGCAAGATGCCTCGCAGTTCGGAGCTCTCTGATTTCGAGAAAGGTATAATTATCGGGTATCACAAATGTGGCCGATCCTTAAGGAACATATCTAGCGATCTGAAGTACCCAAAATCGACAGTGGCCTATGTGATTAAGAAGTGGAAGGTGAGCGGTGATTGTCGGAATGTGCCCCGAGTCGGCAGACCAACGAAACTGGGAGATAGAGACCGACGAGTGCTGTCCAGAGAAATTCCGAAGAACTGCACCCAACTGATGGCCCTCATCCGCAAGGAGTTTCAACAGGCATCCGGGAGTATTGTTTCAATGAATACCATCCGTAAGGAAGCACATCTGCTTGGTTTTCATGGTTGTGATGCTGCCCATAAACCTTTGATCGCAAAGTCCAACTGCGCTGCTTGGTTAATGTGGTGCAAAGCACATCGAAATTGGGCCGTAGATCAGTGGAAACGGGTTCCTTGGAGTGACGAATCAAGATTCACCCTTTACCATACGGATGGCAGGGTCTGGGTCTGGCGTCTACCTGGAGAACATCTCCTGCCAGAATGTATTGTGCCAACAGTCAAGTTCGGCGAAGGTGGAATTATGGTCTGGGGGTGTTTCTCCTGATATGGGCTGGCACCCTTTGTCCCCATTCATGGTAAGCTCATCTCCGATGCCTACTGCACTATTTTGGATGACAATGTGCTTCCTATGTTGTGGAAGTTTTATGGGTTGGACCCCTGTTACTTTCAGGACGACAATGCCAGTTGTCATGTTTCGACGTTAACCAAGGCTTGGTATGGTGCCAATGGAGTTCATCGAATGGACTGGCCTGCCCAGAGTCCAGACCTGAATCCTATCGAGAACCTCTGGGACGAGTTGCATCGCCGAATTCAGGGGTGCACTACCCGTGCAAAATTGGTGAAGGAACTTCTATGTCTTCTCCAAGCCGAGTGGAAGAAAATACTACTAGCTGTCATACAAAGACTTGTGGAAAGTATACCCTGGAGGGTCCACGCTAATTTTATTCAAAATCAATAGTTGGAGGCTCTACCAACTATTGATTTTGAATAAAGTTAGTTTTTCTTTTCTATCACAGGTGTCCAAATACTTATTGGTAGTCAGTGTAGATGTTCATGAACAGATCTGAAAATCCATGCCACTTAGAGAGGTTAAGGATCCTTCTAACATGTCACCTTATCATTGGAGGATAAATTTTTCCTGTTGATCAAACAGGATATTTTTCTATAATGACTGCTGTCAGTCAATCAAGCTGACTACAGTAAACATCTAGTGTAGCAATTTCTCTAATTAAGCAACTCACATTGTGAATGATCAGCCAAATACATGAGAAAACTTTGTTTCTATACTTATTGGCCTTTAGAATTTTCCTTAATGATTTTTCATCAGAAAGCCATTGTTTTTTTTATTTAAAACAATATCCTTGGGTTATCATAGAAACCCATTTCTTGCTTCTTGTTATGACTTAAAATAAAATCATTCCTTTTTTTTAATAGTAGTTTATGAACATATTGCATATGGAAGACCTGTGCACTTTGTTCTTATCACTTAACATACTAGGTATCCATATATTAGAATACTGAAATTTAGCGATAAATTTCAAATGGCACTAAACTATTTACCAAGAAGCATTCATTATTTCTTATATTTTCTTAGTTGTTTTGCGAGTTTCCATAGCTGCAAAGTAGCATTAAGTAGAAATGAATGACCACTTCTTGGAACAATTTCAAGCTCAAAGGTAACAGTTATCTTTATAATGATGACTCATCAGTGGTACTTGCAAATGTTTAATTAGTTTGCATAAATTGCATTATTATTTTCAGTTACAATAATAAAGTTATTATCACAATGAAATGGAAAGAGCATACAGGACTAAGATAAACTTTAGAGATTTTTCATTACAGTAAATCTTTGCTGAATGAAATTTTGCATATTTGCATCTTTTTAATTGCCTCCATTTATTATCCAAGGCCAGAATTTTAATATTATGTGATATGTTGCAGAGTGTTGGCTGCATTGCAATAACAACATATTCTTTGCCACACTTCAAGTGCACAATAAAATTTTCTGTCTTGACTAGAAATCTTTCAGTATACGGCACCTCCGACTCGTAAGTGTGCTCAGAAGCAACTCTTCCTTTTGTGTCTTTGTTTCAAACATATCATTAAGTGATAGATAAAACTTGATCATTGAAAAGACCTTATTTGTTTACTGACCTTGCTTTTTTTAGGAGAATAAATCTTGTCTAACCCTACTTGGCACTGCCTGCTAGTTGAATGATCCAGGCCTATTTCTGCTATTTTATTCATGTTATCAGAGCTGTAGTCACATTTTTGTGAGTGTTCATCCTTTTCTCCTTTTGAGTTTAAATGTCTTTTAATTAAAAATTCAGTAAGACATCTAACAGCCCAAATTGAGATAATAAAATAGCAAAAAATCTACACATGTTTTTTTGCTTGCAAAAGAAATAGCTATTAAGGAAGCAAGTATAAGAAAAATATGGTAGAATGAAGAAAAGATTGGTCTAGTGTCAAAGCTTCAAGTGATACTTCAACAAGGGTTTCTCAAGTTCCAAGAATTCCTCACTGGGAAAAGATGGAGAAAATGTTAATAACTTCGATAAAAAATCAAGTAAAAAAAGTGTTCAACTGTGGATGGTGCTGCTATTTGAAACAAAGCTTTATATTTGATTTCTTTCATTTAAATAAAGATGACAAATCATTAGAGAAAACTGATTTTCGTTTTAAATAAAGACGACAAATCATTAGAGAAAACTGACCTTTAAGCAAAGAAATGAGAGCTTTAAGCATTATTTTAACTTTCACAGTAAAGCTTCAGGAAGAAGCCGGCTCTGCAGACAAAGAAACAGCAGAGAAATTCAAACTTCAGTTTTTGAAATTAATTGAAGACAAGGGTTACATTCTGCAGGAAGTTTTCAATGGAGATAAAATGAGTTTGTTTTATAAGTGAATGGGGTTATGAACCTACATAAAAAAATGTTGCCCCAGGTCTTAAAGTTTTTTAAGGATAGACTCATTTTGGTTTTTATGGGAATGCATCCAGTGGTTTTAAGTCTGTGCTCATTTATCAATCTAAAATGCCTCATGCATTTCAGGGGGAAAACAATTTGAGCACTTGCCAGTTGTGTGGAAGTGGAATAGAAAAGCTTGGGTAACAAAAACCCCATTTTAATGACTGGTTTAAAAGTTCATTCATTAAAGCAAACCGTACAAACCTGAGCTTTAAATTTCTCCTAATTTTCTGTAATGCTCTAGGACAGTGCAGAGGCCCTCACAACATTGTATTCAAATGTGGAGGTTTTATTTCTTTCACTAAATACCACTTCCTTAATACAAACCAAGGAATCTAAGAATAATAAAAACATTCAAAGCCTATTATGTCAGGCATATTTACCTATTTGCAAATAAAGTATTGGACAAAAGAAAGCATGCTAATGGCATTTTGTAAGCAATTTAACATAACACTTAGCATAGAAATGGTTAAACTTGCTTGGGAACAAGTATATTCATCAACGGGTAATGCTTGCTGCCACTAATTATGGCCAGAAGTTGTCAACTATTTTAAAGGATTTTCATCGATTGAAAATGAAGTGAAGGGAATTGTAGTGTTGTGTTATCAGGTCTGGATTCAGAAATGTATGTATGTGTGGGTTCGTGTATGCAATTGCAAATGTCTGTGTTTATATACATACACATACATACACACATGCATACATTCATACATTTCTGAATCTGGTCCCGATAACAGAATAGTACCAAAATTGTAATTATTGCAAAATTAAAAGGTGACAGAATTTTCAGATATAGGAGGAGGAATCGAAGAATTAATGGAGAATGATTATTTGAAATGGCAATTGAAGAACTGGATGATCTTACACAACAGCCAACAATGAAAGCAGCAATAGCAAGCAAGATAAAGAACCTTTAATGTACAAGAAGTTTTTAATGAATAGTTAAAAAGGCACAGAAACTGATTTTATAATCGAGGTTGACCCAAATGAAGAAAGAAGAGAACAATTTACGAGAGGCATAGAAAAACTTTGCACTGCTTATCGCAAAATGTGTAATAAGTTGCATCAGATATTGTCCCAAGCAAAAATCAGCAGCTATTTAAAAAAATAACTATATCATGTACATACTTTACAAGCAATAATAGAAATCCTTTCACTTAACATTTGTCTCATTCTCCCATTTTAATTGCAATAATGTTGTTATGTACATACAGGTTCATAATAGATTGAATGCACACAGGTCTGATGTTAGGTCGATAAAATTTATTTTGCAAAAGAAATACTCCAGGTTCTAAAGAGTTCTGGAACTTTCTTGAGAAATACTCCTACAAGTATCACACAGTTTTTTACACTTCAAACTACTAAGAAACTTAAGCACAAGTTGTAATGCAATGCAAAATGCATCTAAAGAGCAAAGATAACCTGGAGATATCTCAGTACTCTGAACTGATGCTGAACTAACAGCTAACAACAACTGAGAGCAGATGCTGTCTCCGAGCTTATATAGTTTTTACCCGACCGCCAAGATATTTCTAGTACATTCTGCTTCTCCAGATTACTGGAAGGCATATGAGGGCCAGATACGGTTACAGCTAATATAGTGACCAAATACATTTATTCAATTACAATACCTATTGCCATGATGCAAGGACCGGACAAAAATGTCGCCCAAACCATTGTTAGCTTAGCGATATCTCACCAAATTAGCAGATACACAATGTTAAATAGATTTGCCCTTGTACTTACTTTTCTGGCAAGCTTCGCATCTTTAGTTTTTCTTGTTGCATTATGTAAATGAAATACAAGAATTTTACGTATTATTTCACTAAAATTATCGGTATATGTACAAAATTCATAATAATATTTAAGTTTTTGTAAATTATATATATTTTTTTAAGCTGAACTATATACCTCACCTGGTTTTCCTGTAGAAAGTTAACTTTGATGAATGCAATTTAGATGTATGCGCAATGTAAAGTTTCAACTAAAAGCTCAATTTTTATTCTTATGCATACGCTGTAACAATCAAAATTTGAATGAACTCAGTGCTATAGCAGTGCTAAGAAGTATGCCAAAAGTATATACAACCAAAAACAGCATTGTTTTTAGATATCTTAAATATACTTTAAATATATATTTGGAAATTATTATAAGAAGTGTAAGTAAATGGATGAAATACTTATTTAAACTCCCACTAATTTAGTTAGTTTAGTTTTTTTCTCACTGCATTTTTCTGAGGTTTACTTTGGTGATTTTTCTGCCTTTCATATTGTTTTATGATTTCCTTCCCAAATAGATTTTCTTACTTGCTATAAGTTTTTCATTGCTTGCAGAGGTGTACTTAGGGTTTTCAGTACCTGGGAATAACTTTTTTTTTGCACCCCTTTCTGTGTGCCAAGAATGGAAAGCGTTTCATTCTGCAATTTTGTAACATCAATTTGGCACCCTCTGGATGCTGTACACGGGGATAGATGTCCCCCCTTGCCCCACCCTAGTTATGCTGCTGATTGCTTGTGTTCAGGAATGTATGATATAAAAAAGATTTTCTTGTTTCTTGACTTCTCTTTTTTCATTCATCAAGTTTTCTTAAGGCTCTCTCTTTTTGTGCTTTTTCTGCTGTATAATATCATAAAACTCTCTCTTTTTGTGCTTTTTCTGTTGTGGAATATCATAATTTTATCACTATTTTTCTTTAGCACTCCCAGCATTATTTCTATATCTAGCAGAAGACTTAAAAAAGCTAAAACAAAGAAACCTCTTATACTCTGCTTAGTGTTATCAAATGAGTTGTAATGTTCTCATGAAAAATTTCATCAGAATCATCAATCATTTTGAAATAGGTATTTTATTTGTATAAATATAACAGCAATAAAAATGCGTCACAGTATTAGTTATGATCATTTGTTAAAAGTAAATTTTTTTTCATATTTTTAACAGTTTAAACAGTGATTTTTTTTTAAAAGGCATTGGTGACGTTGGAGATGTTATAACTTTAATGCCTGGATATGCACGAGACCACCTTCTGCTTCCGAAGAAAGCTGTCTATGCTACTCCCGAAAACATTCAGAAGTATTCTGATATTAAAAAGGTAAGTAATAAATTGTGGTGTCTTTAAAATATAATTATAATGCAAGATATTTTTAATTGAAACTCCAATCTTTCATTTACTTCACTTTATTTTGTCTGTTATCTTCATATGACATTTCTTTTATATGTAATAATTATTTGCCTTTTGGGCATTTTTTCAGGTGTAATTTTTACAGTAGAAGCAAAGCATTTGTCTTGAAATATTTGATAAAGAAAGTATATATAAATAAAAATCAGCAAACCTCTACAATTTGTACCTCTTGCCAAAATTAGGCAGTCAGTGGAGAACTACCAAAGGCTTGATGTGTGTCTTTAAGAATTGATACTTATTTTTAATATGTTATTATTATTACTCTGTAGAAACATCTAGTATCTAGTATGTAGTCTAGAAACCTATAAATATTGGTACACAGATGCGTAATCACATAATGCTCTTCTTGATGAAGTTTTTATCACGGTGGAACCCGAGAATCGCACTTAGTTCTAGGACTTGAGACTTCTTGAAATTTTGCTGTTGGAATGCTGGGATTTGTATGTTTTCTTTTGCTTTCAGTTTTGCTTAAATTCTTATAAAACTTTGACATCAGATAAACTTTGACATCTAGATCTAATAACAAGGCAAATAAACAGTTTTTTTTTTTTTTTTTTTTTTTTTTTTTTTTAGTGGTACCTTAGTTTATCACCAGTTACAGCAATATAAAATGCGTAGTTGTGCATTCAGTTAACTAGCGATTAACTCAAATATATCTAACAATAGAAAATAACAATTCAATAGAAATCTCAAAACACCAGAATATAATAAAAGTGCCACCTATTATTGGATGGTAAACTAAGTATACTGGTTGTCTGGATATGTGAAGTTTTTCCACATTATCCCTGTCATGTGGCCTGGCATACAAACATATAGTGACAAAGCCCTAAAATATTCATTCTCTTTTCTTTCAGCAGCAATTATGCATATAAGTTCAGTCCATATCTCTGTCTCTAAACTATAAGCACCATATTTACAATAAATACATATTTGAAATAAATTTTCAGATTATGTAAAATTGCTTCAGAGGTCAAATTCAGCCCTCAGAGTGCAAGTTTGAGACTACTGAATTTATTCACAACTGAAAGATGCATTTTATCATATATAGAATTTGTCCTTCACATGTATACTTTAAATACTATATGAGTAATTAAAGGTAATCAGATTTTTTCTTTACTCAATCGTTAATAGAAATTTGATATAAATTAAAAAATTATTTCAGTGCGAAATATTCTTTGCAAAATATGTGATCTATATGATATTGGTTTTGTTTCTTGTTATGAATATTTTACTGATGCTGGGTTTTCATATGTGCATTAAATTAAAAAGAAATTTATTAATAGTAAATGTTTTCAGTATTTTGTAATTTATATATCCTAAATCATAATGTAGTTCTGCATCATTCTTTATTATTATCATTCACATTTTCTGCCAAGAATTAAATAATTAACCTTATTAGAAGGTTAAACATATTTTAAGGCATTTCAATGATTTTAAAGGTTAAATTTTTAAAACCTACACTCTGGACATAAAATATTTTAAACATAGGTGGATTTATGTGGCCATGTAGCCTGTAATCACAAGGTATCTCATATTCCAAAGGGCCCCAAATTTAGGCTAATTGTTTTTTAAAAAGTGATAAGCATACTTAAAATAAAGAGCCCCCAAAATTCAGGTGAGGTGGGTTCCTTCATTTCATTAATTTGCTGTTGCTCATTTAATTTTCAGTGACTCTGAATTTGTTAGTTAATTTAGATTACTAGAGCATTTCAGTCTTCGAGTACAGGTAGCGTACATATATTTTTATGAATCTCTCTTTTAAAATGTATTTTAAAAATAACCTTTTTCTTGATTAAATAACTTATTTCCCTTTTTTGATTTAACTTGAATAATAAAATTATTAATTGCTCGTATAGTTCGTTCTGTAAATGTCTTTATACCAAATTTTATGAAACACTGTCTAAGATTTAAGAAAATAATTACTTGGCTTCATTCTATAGAGCACTAAATCATGTGTAATTGTGCAACTGAAAGAAAAAGTACATCTAGAATTTTTCTGTGCAAAATTTTAAAGCACTCAGTTCAAATATGATTGCAATCTATAGCTAAATTTGTTGTAAAATATTAAGTATGCTACTTAGATCATATATGAAAATTAAATGATTAGTTATTTTATTGTAAATTTAGAATATTATTTTGCAGACTCGACCTGAGAGACCCATGTTCAGTTCTATTTATGCTGGTGTGGTAAGTAAAAAGTCATTTTAGGTTAAATAATATTACTCTAAAATTTTCAAGAGTATTTATTACAGTCCTGTTTATTTCTTATATTCATCTGTGTTAGTATCCCTCAAGAAATCAAATAATAGACCAGGGGTTATATAAGATGATGTTAGTGCTACTAAATTGAAAGACACTGTGTGCATTTGAAATAGCTGAATTTATAAAACAGAAAAAAAAAAAAAAAAAAGAAAAAAGAAAAAAGAAAAAAAAATATTGAATCATCATTTGTATATTTCTGAAACAAAAAATTTTTTTTAAAGTTTTGGATTGAAAGTCAAAAGTTTTAGAACATTATTTAGAAGCAATAATGAAACTAATTGGTCTTTCTTTAAGGTTTGTTCATTTCAAATCAATAATGAAACTAATAGGTCTTTCTTTAAGGTTTGTTTATTTAGAAGCAATAATGAAAACTAAGAGGTCTTTCTTTAAGGTATTGTTGTGTTATTTACATTCGTACGGGTTCATAAATTTGGGGTAAATAATGATGACAGCACTTGATTAAGAATGGAAACACACTTTATTGGTCAGTATTATTCAAAACAGCTTCAATAACATGTTTACAGTTGTGGAAGAGCTGCTATAAACATGCTGAAACAATCAGCGACACAGCCTTCACATGATCTTGCTATAACGATGAAGACAGCTTCATGGCAAAGCACCAGAGTACAGCTCCCGACTCTGCTGGTCCTTCTCAGAACTCTGCGTACTTTCGAGACTCTTCATGCTACAGCTCGTGATGCACTCGATGATACACTATAGAGTATAGATCCTGACTTCTCCATTCAGTTGTTCCCAGAGCTCAACACACTCTAAGACCAAACTCGACAATGCAGTAACTCATGACACTTTAAGAGACTCTCTTGATGCACTCGACGACCAACTTGGCACTATACTAGGCACTCACTGACTGACTATCAACTCGCTAGACGAGACACTAACTCCGCACAGACTAACTGACTGTTCACGTACAGCAGGGTTTATATAGCTTTTGGCTTGTGTTCAAGAACATTCTGGGCTAAACCAGTAAGAATTTGTTCCAGAAGTTTTTCCATCTGTCTATGGCAGGGGTGGCCAACCTGCGGCTCTTTGAAGGATTATTTGTGACTCTCGATAAATGTACCTGCCTTACCTTTTCATTTTTGTGTTATTATATTTAAAAAAATTTTTATCGTTCCATATGTGTTTCAAAATGTCTTTTAAATTACTGACAACAAATATGAAAGACTGAGTACAACGTTGTAACAAATTTCAAGTTAACTCTTTCACATCGAGAGAGGGCAAAATCTCTTCTCCCCAAACAAGGAAAATGCCTGTGTCTACAAATTTCTCTTCGAATGCTTTTCCTTCCCTCTATGACAAATTGAATATTCTACAGCGCTAACAATAACCTACTTAAGTAAAATGAGAACTTCTTTATTGGATGTTTTCACATGATAAATATCTTGAATATAATTTCACCCCGTGTGAAGTTCCTCCTTGGAACGGGATTGTAACTTCAGGCATCAAAAACTAAACATTGACAGTAAACAAAGGAAAGAGAAGGGGTATTAAAATAACAGAACTACTTTTAGTTGCTTCTAAAGAATGATTGACATGCCATTTAACAACAGCTGAAAGCAATGAGCAATGCAGTAACGTGACGGGGAAAAGCACTAGGTAGGAAATATTCAGATGTTTGGGGCTGTTACGAAGCAAATAACGATACTAATGCGTAGTTCGAAAGACTAGTAATAACTTGACGGTTCTTGTTCGAACGCTAATTTTGTTTCGACGAATATGCATCAGTGGTAAATTTGATCTTGATTTGGATACAAAAAATTCATGACGATATCTTTCATTTATATTTAATGAAAGCACCAAAATATATCACAGCAATACACATACATTGCAATGGCGAACCACAGTTACATAATGTAAAAAAAACAGAATTCTTTTGGCGCAACAGCGCCCTCTATCCTATGAAAAGTTCCAACACACCCCACCTGTGCTCTTTTAAGAGCACATTAAATTTACATATCAATAATATATTTAGATATAATCAAAATCAATATGCACAAATTAATACTGAAAACTACATTGCAAATTAAATACAATACATGAAACAAACATATATATATAACTTTAAACTTCAAAAGGATAGATTAATTGGACGGGTCTTCGATAAAGTCCTTGAGAAGTACGAATCAAACATGAACGCACATACCCATCCCTACCTTTATAAACTTCTATATTTCCAATAGGCTATAAAAATTTTGATTTCGTCGACCCCTCCAGCAATACAACCTCACCCTTTTTAAGATTCCTTTCAGGAGATGGATTTAGAAAAGTATGCGCAGACCGTAATTCGAGGAGATAATTCTCCTTCCACTTTTTCCAAATTTGTTTCAAAAGATTAGTTTGATACAGTTTTCTCCTAGTCAAAGTCTGCCTGTTCAATGGTTCATTCCTGAAAAGGTCGGCGAAATGTACAGGATAAGAAATATTTTCTTGCCCTGGAAACAAGAAATGGGCAGGTGTAAGAGCTTCTGGCTCTTTTATTTCATTATGGACATAAGTAAGAGATCTATGATTTAAAACTAACTCAATTTCTGATAGAATAGTCATCATTTCCTCAAAGTTAAGAAGAGCCCTTTCGAGAACCTTTCTCAAAGGATCTTTGATACTTTTCATAAGCCTTTCATAAAAACCACCCCACCAAGGTGCGTGAGGCGCAATATATTGCCAAGTTATACCGTTTATTGATATGAAATCTTTCAATTTTGAATCTATTATAATTTTTGAAATTCTTTAAGAATTTCATTAGTGGCTCTAAAGCTCTTAGCATTGTCGGAAATGATAACTTTACAATTTCCTCTCCTAGCTAAAAATCTCCTTAATGACAAAATAAAATTTTTTGTTGACATATTTGTGATTAATTCTATGTGCACAGCTCTAGTAACACTGCATGTAAATAATGTTATGTAAGCCTTTTGAGGGGTATCCTTTCCTGATTTTATTAAAACTGGGCCAGTGAAATCTATGCCAGTTACAGTAAAAGGAGGGTTTTCAGTAATTCTACATTTAGGTAGTTGACTAGTTATTTGTTTAGCTGGTTTCAACTTATACTTTCGACAAATTAGGCAGTTACCTAATACTCTTTTTATAATTTGTCTACCTCGTGGAATCCAAAATCTAGACCTAATTTTGGCTAGCGTAAATGTAACTCCACCATGAAAAATTTTATTTTGTTCTCGAATAATAATTAACTCTGTAAATTTAGACTGCTTAGGAAGAAGTATAGGATGAACTTCATCCTTTGTAAACGCTCCTTGTTCTAACCTTCCTTTTATGCGCAATACACCACAACTGTCGAGAAATGGGGCTAAATTCGAAAGTGGAGAGTTTTTAGGAATCGATTTACCATTTTCAAGGTTCTGCAATTCTAAATTGAACTCTATGTTTTGCTCATGTTTTATACAGTCTATTTCAGCATTTTGAAGTTCTTCTGCTGTGAGGGGACCTGCAATCGTTTGTCGTTTTTGAAGTTTATTAACAAACCATTTAACTAGTGCAGTTACTCTTAGTACTTTTAACAAACTACTATATTTCCTTAAATCTAAAATAAATTTCGAATTTTCTACCAAACAGTTATTTTGCACTGTACTTTCAAATTCTTTTTTTAGCTCTAAGTCTACGTCTGTAGATTTTAAGTTCTCTCTTTCAGTAGGCCAGTATTCAGGTGATTGGCTTAGCCACGGTGGACCGTGCCACCAAAGATGGTTTGTAGCTAAATTTGCTGCAGAAATTCCTCTGGACAAGATATCTGCAGGGTTATCCTTACCAGGGCAATGAGCCCAATTATTGGTATCTGATAAAGATTGAATTTCTTCTATTCTATTTTTTACGAAAGTTTTGTATTTACTAGCTTGTCCCTTAATCCAACATAATGTAATCATCGAGTCGGTCCAAAAAATAACTAGAAGTATTAAATTTAAGACATTTACTTACTTGATGGACTAATCTTGCGGACAATAAAGCTCCCATTAATTCCAGTCTTGGTAATGTAAGACTTTTCAGAGGAGCTACACGACTTTTAGAAACAAATAAAACTGATACTTAACCTCCCATCTTTCCATTCAGATATAGCTCTTAAATACAATACAGTTCCATAGGCTAAAAGAGATGAATCTGAAAAAGAATGAATTTCAAATGAAATAAATTTACAGTTCAAATTTGAAAAATAACATCTAGGAATTTGGAGATCTTCTAAGTGTTCGATTTCACTGCACCACAACTGCCACTTGTGATCCAGTGACGATGGAAGTTTATCATCCCAGTCTATGTCATGACTCTACAGTTCCTGTAGAATGCACTTCAGCTTTATGATGAAAGGCCCAAGAAATCCGATAGGATCGTAAATACGACCCACTACTCGAAGAATAAACCTTTTCGAAGCAGTTCCGTTCTTGACAAACTTTGATAATTCTTTCACTTTAAAAGATATACTGTCCGCATCTGGATCCCAAACTAGACCCAACACCTTGGTTGCTGAGTCAAGTCCTGTACTTGAGCTCTTTTCCTCATCGATGTCGAACTCAGCATCTTCCCACAGCTTACGCAGTTCCATGGAATTGGTTTTCCATTTTCGTAATATCATGCCACATCTTTTGAAAATAATCTTTTAAGAATTTCTACACTTTCAGTCGTAATTTTTAAAGCCGCTTGCAAGTCTTCTTCGCCTCCAATCAAATCGTCGACATAAAACCATTCTGACAGTAATTTGCAAGTATCAGGAAAATTCTTCTTTACATTTATCAAAATGATATTTCAGAGTTGCAGCTAACAAATATGGACTTGGTTTTAGTCCAAATAAAACTCTACTAAAGTTCATTTCTTGATATGAATTAGAACCGATATCATCAGTCCAGAAGAATCTAGTAAATTTTCTATCACTAGGATCGATCAAAATTTGTAGATACGCTTGC